TTTTAGGATATGTAGAATTTTTCATTGTGAACAACTTTATTTAATATAAAAAGATCGATTTACTTAATAAAAACTTACCGCCATTACTTTCGCCGGGGACTGTAAATCATTAAAAACAAAACAATAATAATTTTATGGTTGCGTAACAATTCTTTAATAATTAAACAAAAAAAAAACAAAGTTGTGTATAAACAATAATCAATTCACGAGTAAATTTATCTGGTTTTCCTCTGTCACGTGATTGTAAGGTTTTGGTTCCTCCATTTTCTTTGCATCGACTGTTAAGGCCTGAATCATGTCTGACGATATGACATAGTCACTGAGTATTGTCTCCAACGCATGGAGTCTATAAGTTAAATATTTGACTTGATCTTCTATCCTCACCTTCTCCCGTTGAGTGCTTTTCACGAGAGGAATAATTGGTAAGCGAACAAATTTGCCTTTCGTTCTTGAAAAGCAACAAAATTTTTGGACGATTCCAAATGGCGCCAAAATTTTTGTGCCTGGTTATAATTTACAAATTGTACTGCACATTAAAATTACGACTGACTTATAAAAAAGAGACTGCATTAACATTAAAAACAAAAAATTACCAAAAAGAACCGTAAACATGGTCAACATTAAACCAATTAAACCTCCGATGGAACCAATCCAGCCACCAACCTTTAATTAATTAGTTTAGTATTTCATTTTTTATAAAGCAAGTCTGTTGTTTATAATTCAATCGAACTTACGGTGTCGTCCCTTTAAGTTTGATTTCGTTGGATTGAATAAAGATCATCATTAATACTTTGATGTTGGCTACGTTAAATAAATGTTACAATAATTAATATATTTAACTCACTTGACCTCCTGTTCTTGTTGAACAAGATTGGTTAATGCGAACAGGCCAATGGACAAAATCTTTGTATCATTTGTGGTTGTGTCGGGCTTCAACGGGTAGTCGAGAACTAAAAAAAAAATCGTCATTGACTATATTTTTGCAATATCATAATTCACAAATATACCAGGACCCCAAAATATATATCTAGAGAATAAGGTCCAATGTGTCGCCATCATAGAAGCATCTGATGAGGCTTGATGTTTTTAAAATAAAAATTAAACTTACATTTAGATGTGGTTATTAATGGAAGTATTATTTGTTCTGAACCAAATCCTAAATAGGATGGCCAGTTGCGCGTAGAATAGGATCTTTCCACTCTAGTTAAGGAGAATCTAATGTGCCGATTGGCATCTAGCGCGTAGGTATTTACATACTTTGTTGAATTTATTAGATCCTGGAGGTGATTTTCTTCAGGATTTTGTTCGCCAATGCGCAATAATTCTGGATATTTTCATAAATGCTTGTATTAAATTATGTGAACTACGTATTGACATGTGTTTATTTACATAACGTAAATACCTTCATCAAGAAATTGCATCTTGATAATCTCCGATTCATTTATATTTACGGGGGTGTTCGTTGTAAAAACCATGTTAAGTTGGCGCACACCATTCTCGCTGATTTCCAGCTTTTCGTAAGAAGGTGTGAATTTATACATATAATAGTCTTCATGGAGGGACTGCGTGATTCTATCATCACAAGAACTCGTGACTTGATTTTCCCACACTATCATATAATAAAAAGTTTACTATATATTATAAGTTCATGTATTATTAACGTTAAAAACAAACAAACATATGGGCCGATTTTTACGCGTCATTATCAATATTTGGCATAATATGAAAATATCACTGTAAAAATCAACCCACATTAAAATAATCAATACAATACCACCAAGACCTTCAGCAGATAGATATGTGCAACTTATATTCATTGGGAATTCCGATCGAAAATTAATGGTAGGAATGTCCAAATGATTTTTTCTTGTTGAGTACTTTATGGATAAGCGCATATCGCAAATTTTCTCAAAAATGTAATAGATATAAGCTCCTAGACCCGCCAATAAGACAGCCAAAACTACTATTTTCATCAAACGTAGTCTCTGTGGCTCTGTCTCCCGATGTTTTATAATGAAGTTTGGAATCCATTGGCATGTTGTCCTTTTTACCATATTGCAAATTTGATGAGAATTTAAGGATTTAAAAATCTAAATTTGAAATAAGATAAATGGGTAAAAGAGAGAGAATGAAATAATTTTATAGATTTCGTTCTCATTGATAAAAATTTATTTTATGGATATTTCATACAAAACATTTAATTATATAAATATTTTGTAAATATTTGACTTTTACAAAATGTGATTTCATTCGAGCGAAATGAAAAGACCATTATGGAATCATTCAGAAAACAGCCTCAATACACGTACAGTGTGTTAAGAAAAAAATGGCGGAGACAAAAAATTGCATATCTCAACAATTACATTACATAATCAAATAAATTTAGATTCGTTTGAAAGTTTATCAAATTACCTTGTTAAATAAAAAAAATAGACATGATATGCTATTGCCAATTTTCTGTAAAGCTAATTCATATCTTTTTTTTAAAACTTTGCAAAATTTTTGTCTCTGAAATTTTAACACGGAAATTTTTAATAATAAGCCTGACACAAAAATATACATAATAATCATACAAAAAATTATACCGGTGTGTAATGAAAGTTCTGGAGATTATATATATAAACTTTCATACTTCCAGATTTTCTAGAATTTTGTCAATTGGAAATAAAAGGAATTTGATTATTTTGAAAAAAACAATTTAATGTGTAAATTTCTTTAATAATTGCTCTAAAGCCTACATAATAACATGCTTCAAAAATTTCATATGTTATAATCTAAGATCCTCCGATTCTCTGTTATAATTTTCATCATATAATTTTGGCTACTTTTCATTAAAAACAATATTTTTACCAACCGCCGTTTTTTTCTTAACACCCTGTATATAACCTCACCGCTTGGTTATGAAAGTTCTCACTTCTGGATCAAAGAGAAATGGTACCAGCACCTCTATTCTCTTCAACTGCTGAAAATTTAGGAGCTTAATTATCAGCCTTAATTTCAAGTAGTATATATAGGGATTCGTAAGTAAAAATTCACTACGATGATGATTAGTGAATGATAAGACGAAATTCATGATTCAATTAATTTAATATTATTGAGGAATGAAAATTCGCCTCCTTTTCTCTCCCATCCTGTCTTTTTTTCAATTTAAAGTTTTTCTTTTTTGCAGGAATGTTTGATTTAAAAGTTCACTCAATGAATGTGCATCTCTAATACAATGAGGACCAATTTGATGTTAGAGTCATTAGATATAACTTTTCTAGACCAATGATATAATTTTTTCGTAAATTTTTCTATTGATTGCAACTACGAATTGGTTGTGCATTCAGTACGCTGCATAAACTCTGATTTTAAGTGTTTTCATTGCTGGAGATTTTTCAGAAGAAGAAAAAATTGCATCTACATCCATAAGAGATGATAGCGATGAAGTTAAACCCCACATTTATATAAAAAGAAGTTACATCTTCTTTAAAGCCCTTCTATATTCCATCTGGTAAAAGGCGAAGATTATTTAAATCTCTAGATGTTTGTTTAGCTGAGTTAACTATAACCCATGAAATCAAGAACTAGATTTTTTAAAGAGTCGCCCATCGACTTGAGGATAGTGATTCTTTATTAGTTTTTAAGAATAACCAACACCAGCTTGCGAGTTCCTGAGTGAATTCATATCAGAATCTTTCATATTTGCACAAGAAATTGGTTGAGCCACAGTCAACAGAGGAAGTTTGCAAATAATTTTTAAAATTATTTTGCTAAAAGAATTTATTTCTTTTTTTTGTAAATAATAAAAAGTGAAATAATTTATTTTTATATATCTGATTGTATGTTTGTGAAAGATACTTTACACGCAATCAATTTTATTGACCAATTGATCATTTAATTGTTGTAATCGCGTAAATTTCACATGTTAAATGCGCGATGAGTTTTTTGTTGATAATGAATGTCCTTGTATATTCATACTGAATTTGTTTAATTTAACAAAATGAAACATGGATCATAAGAGCGTCTATTGCTACCATCATGGGTGTGTGCACCCTTTTCATATGTACTAGTTACTATTACATTTGATATTTTTGGGGAGCGAATTTAATTGATGACAATAAAAATAATGAGGATTAAACTGAACATGGTATTTATTAATGAATGGTTTTGGGTTTCTCAAGTTGAAAATTGTTGTCGCTTTCTCTTATCCAAGAAACGTTACTATAAAAGTACATGAAATTTGAGTTGTTTATACGCATAATGTTTCATTAAAGGATTACCTTGTCATCTTGGTCGATTTTGTCGAGCTAGTACTGTGTAAAATACCTAATACAAATAATATTAATATTGATATCGATAAATGTTTAGAAAGGTCAACATTTTTGGGGAAAGCTGAAGTTAACATGTAAGATTCACTTGAATCGTAAGGTACCCACATAACAGAAGGCCCCATCATAAGCATTGAACAATAGGTGCATGGTGCACTTGGATAATCATACAACAATATTTTGATCTCAAATTCATTTAACACTACATATGCAATCAAGATATTTTTTTCTGGTCAAAAAAAAACAATAGTTCATTATCAAGCAATTGATTCCAACTCTTCATCTTCACCTATTTTTGATGGTGGCAATGATTTGTTGTTTGATACGTTTTACTAAACTTATTTACATATATTAATATAAATAAATATTGTCTCGTAAAAATAAATAAATCACTATATGAAATAAACAGAATTTATATTTTTTAAATATAAAAATCTATTTAATATCAAAACTATAGTGGCTAAATAAATAAAATAAAATAATAAATAATTTTAATACATAATAAAATGACAAAATTTAACTTGTTTGAGTAATTCATTCATCTGGTATAGTTAATTCAATTTGTTTAGAATCTATTAATTCAATTTGTTTAGAATCTATAAAATATTCATCACAAGAATAAATATTAATAAATATTATAAATTTTAAAAAAAAGATTAAATGTTAATAATTACCATCATTATTACCAATAATTGTTACTTTATTGGAATTCACAGGTTGGGAAGGTTTGTAAATTTTAATAATCTGCTAGTATAAACTGCATTTGGATGAATTGTTGCAGTAATTGTTGAAGGATCAAATTTTATTTCATCCATTTTATAAAACATTTTTCTAATTGATTTTTCATCCTTACATTCTTTTTGTTTTTCTGAATATCCCCAACCTGAAATAAATGAACTCCAATCATAAATAATCTCAAGAATTTCTTTAGCAGTTGGACGTTTATCTGGATCAGCATCCATGCATCTGAATGCTAGTTCAATGTAGAATTTTGGTGTGTTGTTTGAGAATCTTGGTCTTGCACCTCCACATATTTTTGTTGCAAGTTCTACATGATGTGCAAAATTATTAAAAGGTTGTTGTCCAGTTGATACTACAGACATCAGAACTCCAAAACTGTATATATCTGATGCTGTTGTATATGGTTTCTCCTTTAAAATTTCTGGTGCAACATATGGTAGTACTCCAAATATATCATTTTTGTTTGATGATAATGCTTGACTAGCTGGGCATGATAATCCTAAATCTGTAATATATGACTCAACAAATTTTTTAGACTGAAGAATATTACCACTATGAAGATCATGATGAATAATTCCTTTTTCATGAATATCTTTTAACCCAGTGATAATTTGCCCAAGAATCTTAATTTTATGTTCCCATTTTAAATTTTTAAAATATTTTGTTAAATAATTTTGAAGATTTCCATCTTTTATATATTTCATTACAAATATATATTCTTTTGTTATTGGATCTTGTGTTAATCCATAAATATGAATTATATCTGTTTTATCAAGGAACTCTGTATAATTTTTGAACTAAAATTACAAAATAAAATATTTAATTACAATAATAATAATCAAAAAATTTGAAAATAAATAGAAAAATAAAATAATTTGCCTCATTAAGAAATTCATTAGAAATATTCTGTGAATTATGTAGTTTTTTTAATGCTACAGTCCTATCTTTACTATACCTTTTTCTATCATCTGTGTACTTCTTACCATTTACCCAAGTAGCTTTGTATATAGTTGCAAAACCACCTTCACCCACCTTTTCAATATTTGTTAAATCATTATAAGAAATCCATGAAAGATAATATTTATTATCATACCCAATTGCTTTAAGTTGTATACTTTTAATCAATTCATCTAATGTTTCATTGCCACTAGTCCATCCTTCAGTTAATAATTTTGGATCACATGATTTACACCATGAACTATTAGTATTATATCTATTGCAAGTTGGACATACCCCATATTTTCTATCCCTTTCCTCTTCCATGAAATATATTACAAAGATATATTCTTTTGTAATTGGATCTTGTGTTAATCCATAAATACGAATTGTATCATCTTTAAGCTTCATATAATTTTTGAACAATAAAATATTTATTACAACAATAATATTTAAAAAATCCAAAAATAAATAAAAAAACAAAACAAAATACCTCATTAAGAAGTTCATTAGAAATATTCTGTGAATTATGTAGTTTTTTTAATGTCACGGGCATACATTTACTGGTTCTTTCATTATCATCATTTGTACTTTTATCATCATTTAACCAAGTAGCTTCATATATAGTTGCAAAGCCACCTTCACCTATCTTTTCAATATTTGTTAAATCATTATAAGAAATCCATAAAAGATAATATTTATTATCACATCCAATTGTTTTGAGTTGTGTACTTTTAATCAACTCATCTAATGTTTCATTACCACTAGTCCATCCTTCAGTTAATAGCTTTGGATCACATGATTGACGCCATGAATACCAAGTATTATATCTATTGCAGGTTGACATTCCCCATATCCTTTGTTTCTTACCTTTGAATATTCATCATTTTGATGACTTCAATCTTCCATGTAATGCATTACAGAGATATATTCTTTTGTAATTGGATCTTGTGTTAATCCATAAATATAAACTTTATCATGGAACTTTGTATAATTTTCAAGCTAAAATAACAAAATAAAAAATATAATTACAACAATAATATTTTAAAAAATAGTATAAATAAAGTAATTTACCTCATTAAGAAATTCATTAGAAATATTCTGTGAATTATGTAGTGTTTTTAATGCCACAGGCATATCTTTACTAGTTCTTTCATTATTACAACAATCTACACTTTTATAACCATTTAACCAAGTAGCTTTGAATAAAGTTGCAAAGCCACCTTCACCTATCTCTTCAATATTTGTTAAATCATTATAAAGAATCCATTGAAGATGATTACTATAGTGATACTTAGTTGCTATAAGTTGTGTACTTTTAATCAACTTATCTGATGTTTCATTACCACTAGTCCATCCTTCAGTTAATAGCTTTGGATCACATGATTGACACCATGACCTGTTGGTATTGTATCTATTGCATGTTGGACATTCCCCATATTTTTCATTTCTAATAAATGGATCTTCATAATTTTGAAGACTTCTATCCATCACAAATATATATTCTTTTGTAGCTGGGTCTTGTGATAATCCATAAATTTTATTTATAAATGATTCACCATCCAATGCAACATAATTTATAAACTATATAATAAATATATTGAATTTCAGAATAATATTTAAAAAATCTAAAAACAAATAGAAAAATAAAATAATTTACCTCATTAAGAAATTCATCAGAAATATTCTGTGAATTATGTAGTTTTTTTAATACCACATCCCTATCTTCACTAGTTCTTTTTTTACTAGAAAAATTTATACTTTTATAACCATTTAACCAAGTAGCTTTGTATATGGTTGCAAAGCCACCTTCACCCATCTTTTCAATATTTGTTAAATAATTATAAGGGATCCATTGAAGATAATTATCATTATCATACTCAGTTGCTTTAAGTTGTGTGATTTTAATCAACTCATCTAATGTTTCATTACCACTAGTCCATCCTTCAGTTAATAGCTTTGGATCACATGATTGACACCATGCCTGATTAGTATTATATCTATTACAAGTTGGACATTCCTCATAAAACATACATCTTTTTTTTGAATATTCATCATTTTTATCTAAAATGTTCTCCATTTTTGTGTTTTTTATTATAATTTGTCAAAAAAATTTTTTTTCTTTTTAGTCTTTTTAGCCACAAATGTGTATCACAAAATAATACATGTCAACGTTGACAATTAATTCGCATTGATAATTAATTATATATTTGCTGCTTCATCAATAATACAGTTTTTTATATATTAAACAAATAGAACATGCGTTACTCAAAAGACTAAAATCTTGGACTTGGTAAAAAATCTTTTTTTTTTTTTGTCCATATCAACAGATAATGCTTATAACAAACAAATTTAAGATTATTAAATAGTTTATACAATGAATATAATATGGTGACAACACTACTATTTCTTCTCTGCTATTCCACTTAAGGTACCGCATGAGCCAGCTTGCAAGCCAAATAACTTAGTAGGTTCGCAAGCTGAATAAGTTTTTTGGCTCGCAAGCCAGCTCGTGATGAGCTTTATTCCCACTACATTCTTTTATTAATTCGGACTGAACTCCAAGAATCCTATACATTTTTTTTAATTTCCAATTTATGCAACACTCTTTTGTGAATCAATTTAACCAATGCGACTGGCAACAGTTAACGTATTTCCGCGTTCCAGCAAACATGTTCATGCAGTACATTGTTAATTATAATAAACAAATTCTATAAAAATTAAACAAGGTCTCCAAGGAAATGTTTTATCCATTTCTTGACCACAATTAAGGACAACAAATCACTTTGTTACGAAACAGATTTAGTTCGAGTCTATTTATTGATCATGTTCTTTTTTTTGAAACGAAACAAAAAATTGATTAATAATTGTTGTATTTTTTAGAATTAAATTAACATCTCTAATCTGCACATATCATTGCAAATATATTCATTAAATTAGAAGTAAACATATTTGGAGAAAACATTCAATATAATAATGCCTTTAAGAGGGATTTAAAGTCGACACTTTCCTCTTAAGAAGATGCTTCAAAAATTTGATAAGTATAAATATTTAGAAAACGTTAGTTAAAGGAACCAATTTTACTCCACACCTTACCATTTCTATCAGTGTTACGCGCGTAATATTTAAACAAAAATCGCATCGCGGTAAATATCAATATCAAGCATGAGCAAACAAGTCGACTTTTAATTAATATCAAGGTGTGTCGCCTACAAAGCATAAAAAAGCGTTAAACGATGCTATCATCTGAGTTTGAAACATATAACAAACGGATTAATTCTGATCTCTGTAAAACAACTTTAATTAGTACTCACGATATTGGCTTTAATTTTGAAGTTTACCAACAGATTTGACAATGATTAATTTGTTTCCTTTCTTATTCCGTGCTGTCATCGATTGGACGGGTCCTAGGAGTATAAGTTACATTGCGATTTGAGTTTACTGATTTCACATTCTA